CGGGATGGGGGCACAGCTGGTCCCAGCTCACTTCTGCCTACCCTGCCTCAGTTTCCCCACCCCACATCCTCACCAGCCCCTAACTCCTTCACTCCCTTCCCTGGCAGCTGGAGCTCCTGGGCGGGCGGACGCTGCGTGAGGGTCTGGCGCGGGATGGGGTGACACACCCCGAGGCTCCTGACTACCGCCTGGATCTGGACGGGGAGCTGGAGGCAGGGTAAGAGTCACCAGCACCGTCCCCAGGAGGCAGGGGCAGCCCGCAGTGCCCACCTGGCACATGGGCATCGACTCCAGCATCCCTCTTCTCAAAGCATGGGGTTTTGTTTGTTTTTTTTTTTTTTTTGTAATGTGCCATTTCGGAGCGGTAAATCGCTGCAGGTGAAGGGAAGAGGCGATGGTCAAGCTCCATCGTGTTGGGGCTTTCATCCCTGGGAGGTGGGGACAGGGGAGCAGCAGCCAGCCCCAGGTCCCTGCACGAACACGGCTGCATTTCCCCAGTGAGGCGGCTGGGATGGGGATTTTAGGGGGACTGCGCTCCTCCGGGGATGCTGAGCAGGCTGCCTCCCTGCCGCAGGTCCGAGGAGGAGGAGGAGGAAAAGAGGAAGGGCACAAGCACGCGGGACGCCTCTCTGCCCGCTGCCGACAGACCAGAGCCGGTCAGTTCTCGAGTTTAGCTTTCTCCTTTCCCAGTGACCAAAAAAAAAAAAAAGTGTCCCCACGTGTCCCACAGACTCCTGGCAGACCCCGTGGACTCGGCCGTGGCCATGACGTGCTGACGGCTCCCTGCAACCCCAGCCTTTGCCTTGTTCCTTGCCTTGAGTTGAATAAATGCTAAATGACCCCAAAAAGGCCAGGCGGGCATGTGGGTGATGCACTTTCCCCTTCAGCCCGGTGACTGGGGGGTCCCTGGGGTGGCTCAGGCCCCCCCCTTGCTCCCCGTGGCCGGGCTTGGACCGACTGGCAGAGGCTGGCACCTGTGGGTGCTGCGTGTCTCCGGGATTGGGGCAGGAGCCAGAGCTGGAGCATCTATCCCAGGGTGGGCTGATCTGGGCCACCATCCTCCACTGTTGGCAAGCGTGTATCCCAGGAAAAACCCCCGGGGCCACCACCTGACCTGTGGCACCGGAGCAACCAGCCCTGGAAGGGGACATCGGGCAGAGCTGCCCATGGACACACAACAACCAGAGACACACAACAAGGGTGCTCCTGGCTGGCCCCTGGGGCGTCGTCATCCCTTGGGCATTGTCACCCCGTGGGGGTGTCACCCACCCTGTGAGGCATCGTCACCCCAAGAAGCATCGGCGCTGTGTGGGGCATCAGCACCCTGCAAGGCATCGTCACCCTACAAGGCATCAGCACCCTGTGAGGTATTGTCACCCCACAGGGCATTGCCACCCCGTGTGCCAGCCACCTCGCGCTCGCTGCCACCCTCTCTGCTCCTCCTGCCTGCTCAGGGACAGGATTGCTTTCTGATTTCTCTGCCTGCTTGGGGACAGGAACCCCTTCTGCCTCTTCTGCCTCCTTGGGGACATGGGCATCTTCTGCCTCCTTGGGGACAAGATCACTTTTGCCTGCCTGGAGCCTGGATCCCTGAGTGCCTACTGAGGGACTAAATTATTTCTGCCTGCTTGGGGACACTGGCATCTTCTAGCTCCTTGGGGATAAAGGTCCCTCTCTGCCTGCTTGGGGACACGAGCATCTTCTGCCTCTTTGGGGACAAGACCCACCTCTGCCTGCTTGGGGACACGCATGTTTTCTGCCTCCTCGGGGACAAAGGTCCCTCTCTGCCTGCTTGGGGACACGGGCATCTGCTGCCTCCTTGGGGACAAGATCACTTCCACTTTCCTGGAGACTGGATCCCTGAGTGCCTACTGAGGGACAAGATCATTTCTGCCAGCTTGGGAACATGAGCATCTTCTGCCTCCTCGGGGACAAAAATCTTCCTCTGCCTGCTTGGGGCCACGGCCACATTTACCTGCTTGGGGACAGGAACCCCCTCTACTTGGGGACAAGACTACTGCCTGCCTGCTTGGGGCCAGGGTCACCTCCTGCCTGCCAGGGACAGCATCCCTCCTCCTGTCCCTCTTGGCAGGACACACAGCAGGACCTCTGTGTGCTCCCTGGGGAGCCAGCAGCCACGGCTGTGCGGGGCTGGGGCCGGCCCTGAGTGCAGGAGGAGGGGACAGGCACCCCAAGATCCCTTTCTATGGTCCCCAGTTCCTGCCCCTGGATGGGCACCACAGCCCCCAACTGGACCTCGTCTGTGCACCAGCATTCCCCCACGTCACCTGGGCACGGGACAACACCCCGGGTGGCTCCCAGGGCTGCCTGGCTCAGCTCAATCCCCTCACCCCAAAATCTGTGGGGGGCCCTGGCACCGTGCTGAGCACAGGGTGTGGGTCTCAGGGCTGAACTGCATCCCAGCCACTTGCTGGGGTCCTCCCAGTGCCACCAGTTCCTGTGTACCGGAGCTGGCGGGGTCACTGGCACTGCGAGAGCTGGCACCCCCTGGATTGGGGACCGTGAGCCCCCCGTTGGGGACAGGGAGGGGACCTCAGGATGTGGCTTTTGGTGACACCGCGGTGTAACACGGCTGTTGCTTTGCGGCAGCTGGCGCGGATGACGAGCGACGAGGAGCTGGCGTCACCGAACACCCGGCCACCGCGGGAGGAACCAGAGGAGCCGGCCACGCTGCCGGCCCGCTCCTGCAGCGTCCAGCTGGAGGGCTACCTCGGCCGCAAGCACGACCTGGAAGCGGCCACCAAACGGGCATCCAACCGGTAGGTGCGGTGCCGGGGCCGGTGCCAGGGTGGCACGGGCACGCACCGGGCTGACGCGGCGGTGTGGCGGCAGGTCGTGGAGCACGCGGTACTGCGTGCTGCGGGGCGGCCAGCTCGCCTTCTTCAAGGATGCCAAAAGCCGGGCGCTGGGGTTGCCCTGTCACGGTGAGGAGCCCCTGGGGCTGCAGGACGCCCTCTGCGAGGTGGCCGCCGGCTACAAGAAGAAGAAGCACGTCTTCAAACTCAGGTGAGAGCGCGGCATGGCACGGGGTGGCACGGCACGGTGTGGGGTGGCACACGCTTTACTGCTACCTCCACTCTGTCCCCAGGCTCAGCAACGGCAGCGAGTGGCTCTTCCACGGGAAGGATGAGGTGAGGGACATCCCGGGGGGGGACACGGTGGGGCTGGAGATGCCCAGGGGACTAGCTTTGCCCGGGGGGGGGACACAGGGTGGCCAGTGGGATACAGGGGGGCTCAGGGGGACACGGGGTGGCTGGTGATGCCCAGGGGATGTGACAGTGGTCAGCAGTGGCCCATGGGACACAGCGGGGCTGGTGACACCTGGGGGGTGGGTCACAGGGTGGCCAGCGGGATACAGGGGGGACAAAGGGTGGCCAGTGGGGACACAGGGGGGCCAGTGGGATACAGGGGGGCACAGGGGGGGCTGGTCATGCCTGGGGGGGTCACAGGGGGCCCAGGGGGGCTGGTAGTGCCCAGGGGGGTCACAGGGGGGCCCAGGGGGCCTGGTGGTGCCCAGGGGACATGGCGGTGGTCAGTGATATCCAGGGGGACAGAGGGTGGCTGGTGGTTCCCAGGGGACATTGGCGGTGCCCAGGGGACATGAGGGTGGCTGGAGATACCCAGGGGACACAGTGGTGACCAGTGGTGCCTGGGACACACACACACACACACAGGGTGACTTGTAGTGCCCGGTGACACACAGGGTGGCCAGGGGTGCCATGAGGACATGGTAAGGGGCTGGCAGTGGGGATGTGGGTGACTGGGGACAGCTGACATCACCTGGGTGGGATGGCGTGGGTGGGGCAGGGGAGCGTGTGTGTGTGTGTGTGTGTGTGTGTCCCGAGCCCGTGTCTGTGCCCACAGGAGGAGCTGCAGGCCTGGCTGCAGGGGCTGAGCACAGCAATAACCGAGTGCCGGAGCAGGCAGGGGAAGGCACAGAGCCTGCCCCTGCCCCCGGCTCCCCCTGAGCCCCCCCTGCCCCGCAGGGACAAGGAGAAACGGTTCAGCTTCTTCCCCAAAAAAAAATAACACACACCCCCCCTCACCCGCCAAGGAGTTGGGGGGAGGACAAACAACCCTGCACCCCAGGCCCCGGCGGTGCCCACAGCCACGTGCGCCCAGGGACCTGTGTGTTACCTATAGGTACAGGCGGGTCTATAGGGGCAGGGGCCGTACAGCCTGTGTACGGGCGTGCAGAGATGCAGCCCCCACCCCTGCGAGCACACGCGTGGGCTCCTGTGTCCGCGTGTAGCAGCACGTCCGCGAGCGTGCATGACCCGTGTGTGTGTGTTGAGCACATGCCTGTGTGCACACGTGTATATATATATATATTTGTATTTATATATATACATATATTTCCATGCTTACGGGCATGCACACGCCTACATGGAGGTAAACACAGATCTATATGTACGTCCCAGGGCACGTGCCCCGTGTGCACATGCGTGTACGTCTCTCCAAGCGTGTGCACCCAGGGGTGCCCCCCCCCCCCGCCCCGGCACGGGGACGTGCGGCAGCCCCGCGCACACACATGTCCCTGCACGCACACGTGTGCACACGTGTGTCCCTGCATGCAGGCGTGCCCGCCCCTCCATGCGCACGGCCGCGGGTGTGCATGCCCCACACGCGTGCATGCCCCCCACACCCCTCCCCACCCACCCAGCACCCACATGGGGAGCTGCTGTGGGTGCCCCCCCAAAGCCATAACGTGCCCCCCCGCAGCGTGTGGGTGCAGAGGGGGCAGCCCCCGCCCCCTCAGGCATCAACCAAAGAGCGTCAGCCCGTGGGCATGGGGGGCACCGCTCACCACCACCCCATGTCCCCGCCAGCGCTGCCAGGATTGGGGGATTCCCCCCCCTGCCCCCGCACCCACAGCCAGGCTGAGCCACCCCAGGGGGGAGCACAGGTGACCAGAGAGGAACTTTTGGTTCAGTTTGGTTTTTGGTTTGTTTTTTTTTTTTTTTTTTTGTTTGTTTTTCTAATAAAGATGTGAAAGCAAGCTGGGCGCAGTGCTGGGTGCCAAGGGGGATGCGTGGGGTGCCTCTGCAGGCTAGAGGGGGGGGGGGGGGGGGGCATGGGGTGCCCCTTCTCCTAGGCAGGGTGGGGGTCCCCAGGGTGCTCCTTCTCCCAAGTGATGTGGGGGTCCATGGGGTGCCCCTTCTCCTGGGCAGGTTGAGGGTCCATGGGGTGCCCGTTCTTCCAGGTAGGTTGGACATCCATGGCGTGCCCCTTCTCCTGGGTGAGCTGGGGGTCCACGGGGTGTCCCTTCTGGGCACACTGGGGGTCCATGGAGTGCCCCTTCTTCTGGGCAGGTTGGGGGTCCATGGGGTGCCCCTTTTTCCAGGTAGGTTGGAGGTCCACAGGGTGCCTCCTCCTGGGTGAGCTGGGGGTCCATGGGGTGTCCCTTTATGGTCACACTGGGGGTCCACGGGAGGTCCCTTCTGGGCACACTGGGGGTCCATGGGGTGCCCCTTCTTCTGGGCAGGTTGGGGGTCCATGGGGTGCCCCTTTTTCCAGGTAGGTTGGAGGTCCATGGGGTGCCCCTCCGCCTGGGCAAGTTGTGGTTTTCCTTCCCCTGGGGTCCGCAGGACGCCCCTTCTCCCCCCTAGCTGGTGGCGTTGAGAGTCTGAAATTTCTGCCGCAGGTCCCTGACGAGGCCGTGGCGAGGGGGCGAGGGGGTGTCGGGGGGCTCGGGGCAGCGCCGCCGGTACTCCTCGGAGGCCTGGTAGGCTTTGCAGCGCTCCACCACCGCCTTCAAGCAGATCTTCTCCCGGGTGGTGGGCGAGCGGATCTGCACATAGGTCTGGGACTCGGTGGGGGCCGGTACCCGCTCCAGCACCAGCACCCGCTGCCCGGGGCCCAGGGGGGCCTCCGCTGCCACCCACAACGCCCCATCGCTGCCGTGCCGTGCCGGTGCTGGCCCAGGGGTGCTGAGCCCCCCACATGCCTCGGCGCTCCGGCTCCGGCCGCTGCCCCGCTCCTTCTCGGTCGGGCGGCCACCCCGGCACGGCCCCTCGGGCGCTGAACGGCTGCGGCTGACGGCTGGTGGCCGCGGGGCACCGAAACGGGCACGAAGCTCACGCACGTCAGGCCAGGCGAAGGGTTCAGCGCCGCTGGGGCTCGAGGGGCTGCGGGGGGCAGCCGGGGAGGGGGATACTGCCAGCCCCCCATCTTGCAGCGCGGTCACGGCGGGGGTGCCAGCGCAGGGGTTCCCCTCCTCCGGCTGGCGTGGGGCGCAGCGGCCGCCGGCGCGGCGGCTCTTGATGCGGAGGCTGTATTGCCGCGCCAGCTGGTAAACCTTGGTGCCGGGGTGCGGGGGGGTCAGCAGCAGCCGTGGCGGTGGCTCGGCCGGCGGCCCCTCGCCCCCGCCATCCAGGTCATCCTCTTCCAGGATAAGCAGCGGCTCGGGGGGCTGCAGCCCGTTTTCCCGGCATGGCTCCTCTGGTGATGCCTCGGGTCCCCCCGGTGCCGGCTGGGTGGGGGGCTCAGGGCTCGCCGGGGGCCGGGGGAGACCGTTGAGGCGGCAGACGGAGCTTCGTACCAGCCCCTTGGGGATGAAGGAGAGGCTCTCGCGGCGGCAGACGCTGAAGCCGGCGTCGCGGTGCTCGGCGTGGCCGTAGTAGCTCTTGATCTTATCGAGGAGCAAGCGGTCCCGGCTGGAGAGCTGTGACTCCCGGTGGGTTCCGGTGAGTGGTTCGGGCGAGGGGACGGTGCTGTGGGACCCCCCGGGCTCTCCGCTTTCAAGCTGGGGGCCACCGTCCAGGCTGAGGGTGCTGCTGCTGCGGCTAGCCGGCCGCCCCACCGGCCCCTCCAGCGCCAGGCTGCTGCGGCGCGAGAAGCTGCCGCCGCCGCCGAACCGCTCGGCGATGACGCTGGCCTGGTCCAGCACCGAAGGCGGCAGGATGCTGCCAGCAGCTTCTTCCTCCTCCTCCTCTTCCTCCTCGCTGCTCAGTCCCTGTAAATCCTCCGCAGCGCGCTCCGGCTCCCCCTCCTCACCGGGCAGCACCGGTGCCGGGGTCCCCGCTGAGGATGGGGTGTTGGGTGGCCCCAGCCCCTCGGGGTGCTCCAGGGTGCTGCCGGCCTGCAGAGGGGTGGGTGGGTGGGTGCTGGATCCCTGGGGACCCCCGGGCAGGAGCTGCGGGGTCACACTGACCTTCTCGCAGCTCCCCGGCCCCCAGCTGCTTGGGCGCTTGGGTCCCTCCGGCGCTGGTGGGTGCCCCCTGGCCTGGGCAAGAGGAAAAGTGGGGTGTCACGGGCTGTGGGAGGCAAGTACTGGCCAAGCTACAGTTCAGGGTCCCACAGCGGCCCGGAGAGCAACATGGGGTGCCCTGGGAACAATCTGGGGTGCCCCAGGAGCGAGGTGGGATGCCCTGTGAGCAACACGGGGTGCCCCAGGAGTGATGGAGGGTGGCCTGGAGCGATGTAGGGTGCCCCGGGAACAATCTGGGGTGTCCCAGGAGGGCTGCAGAGTGCCCTCCCCAGGGTTTAGGGGGGCTGGGGTGGGTACCTGCTCCTCCTGGGGTTCCACCAGCAGGTCCCCGGCCCTGGGCAGCTCCTCCTGGCCGTCCTTGCCCAAAGCTGCTGCCTCCTCTTCCTCCTCCTCTTCTTCCTCCACCACGCCCTCAGTCACCACCCAGGCTCTGGGGTGCTGCGGGGGCTCCCCCACCCCCAGGAGAGCCCCATCGCTGCCGGCGTGCTGCTCAGGGGCAAGCTCCGGGTTCAGCACCCCGTGTCCCCCCCCTGGCAAGCAGCGTGCCAGGGTTGGGGCACACCGGGGACCCCAACCCACCCCTGCGCCCCGGCCTTACCTTGAGCCCTGCCAGCCAAGAGAGAGAAAAGTGGAGGTTAGGGAGGAACAGCACCCCAAAATGCTCCCCCCCTCAGCCCCGCTCTGCCCACCCCGCCGATGCCAGCGGCCGTGCCGGCTCACCTTGCTCGCCCAGCTGCCGCAGGATCTGCTTGGCAGGCTCTGCGAGGAGAAGTCGGCCATCCAAATCGGGTGACGGCAGCATCGTCCCCATGTCCCCCCCCTCAACCTGTCCCCAACCCCCATCCCACACCCGGCACCCCGACCACCACCCCAGCTGGGCTCCCCTCTCCCCGCCGCCGTCCGCACCCGACTGCCTGCGCCCCGTGTGCCCGTGCAGCCGGTCTGGCAGCGTCTCCGCGCGGTCCCGGCACTGGAAGGGCTCTGTGGGGACAGGGGCACCCATCAGCACTGGCACCCGGTGCCCACCGTCCCCCACAGGGTGGCTTCACCCCTGGGGAGGGACGGTGGTGGCAATGGGGACGCCGGGGATGCGCGGCTCTCACCGGATTGCCGGCGGCCCTGGCGTGGCTCGGCAGCAGTGTCACCCAGGGGCTGGCAGGACCAGCTCTTCTTCAGGTGCTCAGGGCTGCAGTGGGGCAGGCGGGGGGGGTCTGCGGGCACAGGGGGTGATGCTGGGGGACGGGGTGGGGGGGACAGGCGAGGGCAGGGAGGGGACGGCGGGGCGCCGGTGGCACTCACAGAACAAATCCATCTCCAGGATGGCTTCCTTAGCCTGGTGTGGAGAGAGGATCGAGAGAGATGGGGGGGGGTAAAGATGCAGTGCAGCTACTCCCCCCCTGCTGTCGCTGGGCCGGGGGGGGACCCCAGTGCCAGCGTGGTGCCCGTCCCCCTCTGCCCTCACCTTCTGGGGGATGATGGCGTGGTGGTTCTCCAGGATGAGCCGCTTGATGTGGTGGGTCCACATGCGCTTCTCCTCCACGCTCTTGGCCTGAGAGGCAGGGAGGGCGGGTGGGGTTGGGTGGGGGGGTCCCCAGGGTGCCCCCCACCCCGTGCCCCCCCGTCTTACCTGCAGGCTGTGCTGCTGCTTGCCGTGCTTGTAGTGAGCCAGGCTGAAGCAAAGCGAGTCCCGCGTGCTCTCGATCAGCATCAGCGAGGAGCACTGCGGGGAGAAGCCATCAGCCCCCCCAAACTCAGCACACACCCCCACCTTGTGTGTGTGTGCGTGTGTGTCCCCATCCCCGGCACCCACTGGGATGTGGCTCTTGTAGACGTAGTGGTCGCCACGGCGCTTGGTGATGAGGAGGGTCTTGTCGAAGAGGAAGACGGCGCGCTCGTGCCGTACCCGCTGCACTCGGAAAGTGCCCTCCAGCACCAGTTCCCCGTAACTGGTCAGGTCTGGTCCCTTCCAGCCCAGCAGCAGCGACTGGATCTCCTGCACGGGTCCCCCCAGGATGTCAGGGCCACCTGCCACCACGGTGGTGCCCGCCCAGTGCCACCAGTACCGACCTGCTGGCGGATGGCGTGCTCGTGCTTGCGCTTCATGTCGTTGATGTACCAGGCGACGCAGGTCATGGTGTCGATGGCCTCCAGGACCACCTCGTAATCATCCCCCGACTTGTGCTCAAAGTGCTTGGCGATCTCCTGCCAGCAAAGGACGGGGTGCCGCAGCAAAGGGGTTACAGTGGCCGGTGCCAGCGGGGTGGGGAGGCGGGATTGGCGTGCCAGGGGACCAGGGTGTCCCAGGGAAGGGTGAGGGTGTCATGTTGGGGGACCTGGCTGTGCCAGGGAGATGTGCCACGGCCAGGTGCCTGTGCCAGGCTGTGCCAAATGCCTGCGCCCTGCCACGCTGGGTGCCCCTGAGATGCCAGGGGACCAGGCTGTGCCAGGGAAATGTGTCCTGCCACCCCCAAGACCGTGCCGAGCGCCTTGCGCCGGGCCACGAGCTCACGCCACGCCGGGTGCCCACGCCACGCCACACGCCCACGCTGGGCACCGGCTCACCTGGAGCAACAAGTGGTACTTGAGGATCCTCTGGACAGGCTTGAGCAGGTAAGCGCCGAGGGGCAGAGCGTGCCGCAGCCGGTCCTGACACTCGCGGAGGAACCGAGCCTGCGGCTTGCTCCTCATGCACTCGGCCAGCGCTGCCACCGAGCTGCGGGCAGGGAGCGGGCTCAGCCCCCTGCCCGTCCCCCCTGCCTGTCCCCCCGCTACGCCCCCCCAACACTCACCTGGGGTAGTTGTTGCAGTACTGGGTGTAGATGGCAAATTCCTGGCTCTGAGGGCAGCGGGGAGAGCGGTGAGAACCCAGCAAAACCCTGTACACCCCCCCGCCCCCCCCCTCGGTGCCCCCGGCCTTACCCGGGTGACAAAGCAGACAGCCACGGCCACGGGGTCGCTGGCGCAGCTCTCCAGGTTTTGCAGCAGGGTGCTGGGGTGGGGGGACAGAGGGGACGCGGTAACGGCAGCCCCCCCCCCACTCCAGACACAGGATGAGGTGGCACCGGCTGTGCCTCCCACCCTTCCAACCCCCCCCCCAGCACCCACCTGCTGAGCTCATAGATGTCCTCGATGTTGCCAAAAAGTGCGCTGACCTGCTCCGGCCGCAGCACCGGCTCCTCCGCATCGATGATCTTGCCCAGGTAACCCTGCCAGGCACCCGCGGTTGGCAGTGGCGGCACCGGTACAACCAGCCAGGCCCCCCTCCCATCTCACCGAATCCCATCCGAGGGGTGGCGCATGTGTGTGTGCCCCCCAGCGCTCACCTCCACGATGCTGCGCAGGTCGCGGGCGTAGGTGCGCTCCGACTCCACGATCTCCAGCACCACCCGCCCCAGGTAGCTGGGCTCAGCCCCGGCGTTGCCGAAAGGTGCCAGGGGGTGCCCGCCGCGGGCGCCTGGCCACCCCCCGCCCGGAGAAGCATTGTTGTTGCTGTTGTGCAGCCCCTCGGCCCACGGCTCGGCCCCGATGCCGGCCGGTTCCTCCATGGCACGGCTGGGCTCCGGCACAGGGCTCAGGGCAGGGTGCTGCGAGCAGGCGGGGACCGGCATGCCGGCATCCCCCGGCACCAGTAGGGCACAGGGTGGGCCTGGAAGGGGGGAGAGCAGCGTGATTAGGGGGTATGGAGACCCTCGCCATGAGGTCTGGGCAGCATTTGGGGTCCTGCCATAGCAAAGAGCCCTTGGGGTTGACCCGATGGCTGAACTCTCCAGGCTGGGGGGTGCCAGTATCCCCCCCCAAATCCCCAACTATGGGGATCAGCCGAGGAAGGATATGGCTCAGCCAGATCCTGGCACAACCCACCACGGCCTCCCACCCGCTGGGGCCCTGAGAGATTTGGGGGGTTCACCCCCGCCTTACCCTAGAGCCAGGTGATACGCCCCAGGAGCCGGGGGCCATGCTCCCGGGGGAGGAGGTGCGCCGGCAGGACCAGCGCCATCGCCGAGCCCCCACCCGCTGGCACCCCGCGCCGGGGCCATGCGTCACCGCCGCACCCACGGGACACCTTCCCGGTGAGCTCAGCGTCGGCTCGCCCTTCCGGACAGCCAGTTACCGCTGGCCGCTCCCCACCGTGGCACCGGGATCCTCCCACGGCACCGAAACCGTTCGGTGCCACTGAAACCGCTCGGTGCCACCGGATTTGTGGCAGAGGGCCGGGTCGCGGCAGGGCGACGAGCCCGTTCGCCCCGGCGGGTGTGTGGCCACAGGGACGGTGACCTTCAACCAGGCCACGTGCCGGCGGCGGGGCTGCCCGAGCCCCCCGGCACTGGGGGGTGCCGGCACCCAACCGGTCAGGCCGGTTCCCGCCTGCTCCTCCCCGCACCCACCGTGCCGCATGGCCGCGATCCCGCCGCCGCCCTTGCCATTGGCTTTCCCGTGCAAGAGAGGAGCACCCCCCCCACCCCCCCCCCCACCCCAAGCAGGGTCCAGCCTCACATCCTCAGCCCGGGTCCCCAGGTGTTGGCATGGCTGGCTCTGCCGTGGGGCACCCTTTCGGCACCCTGGGTGATTTGGAGAGCAGCACCCCCCCACACCCCCCCTCGAACCCCAAATCCTCCAGCCCCACGGGCAGCCCGTACCGCTAGGGACACAGGGGCCAGCAGACCCCCCGCATCCACCCCCAGCAGGGTCTGACCCCCATCCCCGCCCACAACCAAGGTCCCTGCTGGGGAATGAGAGGGGACACCTGGCTGGCACTGGGGTGGGGGGTGGGGTGGGGTGGCAAACCGGGACACAGCCACCCTACACACACGATGGGGGGACAGCACCCCGGTGTCTACGGGGGCTCCCCCCAACGTGATGCCCGGGCCGGGGATTTGCAGCTCGTCTCCTGCAGGCCGCCCTAATCCGCTCAGCGTGCCGGGATTACGGCGCCGGCCCCACGTCACAAGGACAGCGGCCACTCACCTCGGCCCCTGGGCCACCGCTAGCCCGCCCCAAGCTGGGGAGGGGGGGTTTATCCTCTTACCCCCCCACCCCCCCTACGCGCCGCTGTGGTCTAGCCAGAGCCCCTGGGATCCCGCCTGCCGCCTCCTCCCGGTGGGGATTAGCCCTGACCTTCACCCCCGGCGGGACGGGCTGTGCCCCCCGACCCCTTTGATTTGGGGGCTGCTGGAGACCCCAAGCACCCCTATCCCCGCTGCAGGGGACGGGATGTGGCCTCTGGGTGCTGCCGGCAGCACAGACAAGGACACTGAGGAGCTGCCGGCTGGCCCCGGTGTGGTGGGTCCCCAAAACTCCCCAGCTGGGGGAAACTGAGGCAGGGGCCGGGGTTGTGCCCAGCTGCCGGCGCGGCGGTTTGGATTTTCCCCCCGCCATGGGATCACCAGCTCCGTTGCACATTCCTGCGCGGGAGACGGGGGCATGAGGCACGGCCCACGGCGCTTTCCCAGGGCCCCGGCACGGCACGCCAGGAGAGGAGAGGGCGGGCAAGCCGGGGGTGCCGGGTCGGGCAGCCGGCCGAGCGGGGCCGGAGGAGGGCCAGCCATATAAGGGAAGGTGGTTCACCATTTCCAGGCATTTTGCAGGATCCCAGCAGCCCTGGGAGCAGGGAAGGTCGCTGCCGCCTCCAGCCCAGCTGCCACGGCTCGGCGCGGCCGTCGCTCCCGGCCCCGGCTGGCACCAAGCTGGGCGCTGGCACTCCCGCTCGGGCATTGCGGTGCTGCGAGGTGGTCCAGCACGACGGGGGGGCCCCGTGTCGCGACGGGGTGACCCCCGCGCCACGGCACCCATGCCGGCAGTGCCGGGGACGTGGGGGTATCGACCCCACAGGGCTGCCAAAACCTCTTGGTGTCGGGTGCCCGGGGTGTCCCGCATGCCTGGCGGCCACCTAATCCTGCCAGAGGGGTGCAGGGCACCCCCACATTGCCCACAGCTGGGGGTCCCGGTGCGGTACCCCTGTCCCAGCCCCCCCCAGCGCACAGCCAGTGGTCACCATACGTGCCACAGCCTCTGTCCTGCACCCCCCGGGCTGGGCCTGGGGTCCCCCCCAGCCCCATGGCTGCCTGCCCCAGGCATCTCTCAGCACCCCCCAGGACCCACGGGCTTCTGTCCCCCCCTGGGACCCACGGCCCTGCCCCACAGATCACCAGGACCCTCCACTCCCACCAGCACCCACAGCTCCAGCCCCACTGGGACTCACAGCCCTGGGCACTCCGGGACCCACAGCTCCTGCCCTACTGGCACCCACAGTGCTGGGCACCCCGGGATCCACGGCTTCCACCCCACGGGGATGCAACGGCCCCCACCCCACCGGGACCCACGGATCCTGGCTCCACTGGGATGCAGTGGCTCCCACCCCACTGCTACCCATGACACCGGGCACCTCCATGACCCACGGCGCCGGCTCCACCGGCACCCCCGGCTCCCACACCCTTCCCCCCAAAACTCCACGGTGCCGGGGACCCCCGGCTCCCCCCTACCCCGCCCCCCCCAAACCGGGACCGACATCTCCCTCCCTGCGGGGACCCCCGGCTCCCTCCCTCCCTCCCTCCCTCCGGGGTCCCCCGGGCGCCGCGCACGTCGCGTCCCGTCCCGTTCCCGCCGGCGCGCCCCGTCCCCCCGCGCGCCCCCGTTCCCGCCGGACTCACCGCGCGCCCCCGTTCCCGCCGCCGCCGCCCCGGCCCGGCCGTGCCCGCAGGAAGCGGCGGGAGAGCCCCGGGGGCGGGGACAGCGGCCGCTCCGCCCGGGCTGCTCCGGCATCGCCCCGGCCCCCGCCCGCTCCCGGGAACGGCCCCGGGACCGCGCCGGTGTCGCCCCAGTATGGTCCCAGTACTGCCCCGGTACGGCTCCGGTACGGCCTCGGTACTGCCCGGGTGTGGTCCTGGTACTGCCCCAGTATGGCCCCGGTCCTGTGCTGGTATTGCCCCAGTACGGGCTCAGTACTACCCTGGTATGGCCCCAGTATGATCCCCCTATGGCCCCCCAAAACCGCCCCATTATGGTCCCGGTATTGCCCCAGTATGGTCCCAATACTGTCCCGGTATGGTCCCAGTATTGCCCCAGTGTGCTCCCAGTGTTGCCTCGGTATGGCCCCAGTACTGCCCCACTATGACCCCGGTACCGGCCCGGTACGGCATCAGTATGGCTCTGGCATGGCCCCAGTATGGCCTGGTACCACCCCGGTATGGTCTCGATATTGCCCCAGTATGGTCCCAGTACTGTCCCGGTACTGCCCCAGTATTGCCCTGGGGTGCTCCCAGTGTTGCCTCAGTATGGTCCCAGCAGGGCTCTGGTTCCTGTCCTGGGGTGCACTGAGGCACAGTGTGGGGGGAAACCCCCCCCCCCGGCGCCTGAGGGGACACAGCACCCCCGTGGGGTCCCCATCAAACAGGCTGAGCCCCCCAGGTGCCACCAGCCATGGGGCCACCGCTGACATGGGGCAGACATGGGCCACCACGAGCGAGACCCCCCTGGGGTGTCCCCTCAGCCCCAGCACAGCACCACCTCTGCCACAACACCATCTCCTCACAGATCCCCCAGCACCCCCGGAGGGGTTCAAACCCCCCAAATAAAGCCGAGGGACAGCCGGAGCCCCCCCCACCCCACACATAGCACCTGCCACCACCAGAATGAGGCCATTCTGCCAGTGGTGGCTTATGTGCCGCTGGCGCTGGGCTCCGGCTGAAAGGCAGGATTGTTTGGGGACTGGTGTGGTGTTGCCCGTCCAGACCCCCCGATATCAATGCCGCGCAGCGTCACTAGGGGTGAGGAACGTGTGGCATTGCCAGGGCAGGGGGGCCGAGGGGTCCACGCCAGCCTCACCGGCACCACGGCACGGGCTGTGCCAGCAGCCTGGCCACGGCGTGCCTGGCACGGCACTGCGGCAGCCGGCCCTGGGGCAGGGGGGTGCTGGGGGCTGGTACAGTGGGTGCTGGCCCGGTGGGTGCCAGTGCAGTGGGTGCTGGTACAGTGGGTGCTGGCCCGGTGGGTGCCAGTGCAGTGGGTGCTGGTACAGTGGGTGCTGGCCCGGTGGGTGCCAGTACAGTGGGTGCTGGCCCGGTGGGTGCCAGTGCAGTGGGTGCTGGTACAGTGGGTGCTGGCCCAGTGGGTGCCAGTACAGTGGGTGCTGGTACAGTGGGTGCTGGCCCGGTGGGTGCCAGTGCAGTGGGTGCTGGTACAGTGGGTGCTGGCCCGGTGGGTGCCAGTGCAGTGGGTGCTGGTACAGTGGGTGCTGGCCCGGTGGGTGCCAGTACAGTGGGTGCTGGTACAGTGGGTGCTGGCCCGGTGGGTGCCAGTGCAGTGGGTGCTGGTACAGTGGGTGCTGGCCCGGTGGGTGCCAGTGCAGTGGGTGCTGGTACAGTGGGTGCTGGCCCAGTGGGTGCCAGTACAGTGGGTGCTGGTACAGTGGGTGCTGGCCCGGTGGGTGCCAGTGCAGTGGGTGCTGGTACAGTGGGTGCTGGCCCGGTGGGTGCCAGTGCAGTGGGTGCTGGTACAGTGGGTGCTGGCCCGGTGGGTGCCAGTACAGTGGGTGCTGGCCCGGTGGGTGCCAGTGCAGTGGGTGCTGGTACAGTGGGTGCTGGCCCAGTGGGTGCCAGTACAGTGGGTGCTGGTACAGTGGGTGCTGGCCCGGTGGGTGCCAGTGCAGTGGGTGCTGGTACAGTGGGTGCTGGCCCGGTGGGTGCCAGTGCAGTGGGTGCTGGTACAGTGGGTGCTGGCCCAGTGGGTGCCGGCACCGCGGTGCCTGGCCAGGCGGGCGTGGGAAGGTGCCGTGTCTGGCTGCGGCTGCGAGCGGCGCGGGCGGGTGGGTGCTGTGGGTGCTGTCGGGGGGGACACACGGGGCTGCTCTGGGCCCCCTGACCCAGCCCCTGTCCTGTGCCCCGTGGGGTGCCCCTCTCTCCACACCCTCTCCCCAAATCCCCCTCCCCAGACTCCATCTCCCCATATTCCCTCCCCAGAGCCCCCCTTCCCAAACCCCCTCTCCACACCCCCTCCCCAAATCCTCCTGTCCCCGAATCCCCCTCCCCAAATCCCCCTGTCCCCAATTCCCTCTCCCCAGACCCCTCCCCAAATCCTCCTGTCCCCAAATCTCCCTGTCCCCAATTCCCTCTCCCCAGACCCCTCCCCAAATTTCCCTGTCCACAAATCCCTTTGTCCCCGAATACCCCTGTCCCCGAATCCCCCTGCCCCCGAATACCCGTCCCCAAATCCCTCCCCATACCCTCCTCCCTTTCCCCCCCGTCCCGCCCGTCCCCCGCCCGCCCACCAGGGGGCGCCGCAATACTCCCCCAGCCCCGCCCCGTCACCCCCCGCGCCCCTTTTTCCCGTGATGCTCCGCGCGGGCGAGGCGGGAAGGCGGCCGACAAGATGGCGGCGGGTTTGGCCGAGAGGAGCTGCTTGGAGTTGAGCGCGGCGGCTCGGGGCCCACCGCGACGGTTTCAGGAGGTGGTTTTTACCCCGCTGGGGACGGCTCCGCTCCCGGCCGGCCGTTATGGGGACAGCGCGGGGGGTTTCTGCTACCAGGAGAGCGCGCAGCTC